ATTAGAAAGAAATTGAATGAAACTCTTAGCTGGCCACAGAGAACCAGTATCAGAGCAATCAAAATTTATACTGTTGACAAATCTTCTAGGATGAAAAAGAATTAGTGGTTACAATACTCTTCCTCCATGAAAATAATTATTAATGACTAAAAATTAATTATATAAATATCTTAAATTGTTCTAAATACATACATAAAATAGAGAAATAATCATTTAAGAAAATCTACAAAATATTAAGAAATGCAAGAGTTTCTGGCGTTTAATCCATGATCTCTCTTCTCCTGCATCCAACTTCATGTTACAGAAATTTTACTCTTGCTCTGTGCATGCAGTCAAGAGGAGGGGGCTGCATCTGCCCTTAGTTCTCAGGCTAGGGCTACAGTTTCATCCTGGGAGGAGTAGGCCACTAGATTATTATTTTTTTTTAATCCTCTTTCCAACCCCTTGCCAAAAAAGCTCGATTCCAGAAAAGCATAGTTGGGAGAAGTCCAGTCCCATTCTCCAACTCATAAGCAAATGTCCCCCCAAAATAGGCACCAAGCAGAACGGAACTTAGATTACTCCTATTCTTAAGGAGCTTTAGTGGCCTAGTGTTAAGAAGCTGTTTATGGCATTGAAGTCTATGGGGGAGAGAATAGTCTAAAAGAATTATATTTTAGGGCATTATTTTTATCGTAGGAGTATGCAATGAGGGTTGCAGAGTGGATTATATTTGGGGGTAGGGCGTGGGGTTTGGGGAGGTGCGGGGGGATTGTGTACCAATGAGGGAGTTTTTCTCTTGCTTTTCAAGGAGAGGAGCAAAGGGGAGGGGGAGGGGTTTGTGCGGGGAGAAGGGTGCAACAATGAATGAATGGAATTCCAAAATCTCTGTAGATGTTCATCGAAATGAAAAATAAACAAACTAAATTAATAAAATAAAAAAAAAGAAGCTGCACTTCAATCCCAAAGGCAAGTGGTTCAAATCCACCAGCTTTTCTGTGGGAAGATGGGTAATTTCCTCCTGGTGTTTTACTATTTCTGAAAACTTGCTGGAGGGCCAGCTCTGAGTCAGTTCCGACTTGATGGCACATAACAACAGATTACTCCTGTGTGTTTGTATGATGGAGGTTGATGTTGAAAGGTCAGGCGAAGAAGAATAGGGGCTACAGCCCCTACCTCCTGCACCTTGATGACCCTAGAAAAAACGTGTTCCTCATAGAGAAAGCCACAGTGGACATGCGCCTCTCCTGTGCTGTGGTGAAGAGCGTCTGCCCAGGGAGAGAGACAGGCCATGAAAATAAAATCTCTGTAGCTCTTCCTGAGGAAATTGACTTTATTTGGAAGAAAGTGTACAGGATTCCAAGCCCAAAGGCAATCCTGAAAGCAAGGGGGAACTCAATAGAGAACAACTATGAGGATCCTGGTAGCTCCACGACACTGACAGCAACAGATAAAATGCTGCCAGAATTTTTACAGACAGAACCAGAGACAGACAGCTTGGGAGAGCCCTTGAAAACAAGGTAAAGTAGGGTCAGAAAGCATACACTAGGCTGCGCACACCCAAGAGCCATTAAAGATGATTTGGGTCAGATTTTAAAGCATCCCAGCATACAGATCCACTAACAAAGGACAAAAGCCTCGCTGGCACAACGGACTTAAGCACAGTCTTTGACCAAAAACCGGATGATAAATGAGAGACTGTGATGTAAGGCAAGTGCTATGAAATCAAACTTAACAATAAAATCACATGCATCCCTGGATGCTGGGCAGACTAGGCGTATCCAAACCCGCACCCTTTCATGGGAAGAGGGAATTTTCAAGCAACTCATCTCTGGTTGAATGTGAAATAAAAATCATAAACTCCCTGAACTGTGATAACAGCCTAAAAGCCACACAAGGGTAGAAGGTGAAAATCTAACTAGCTGAGAGAGCAAAGAATAACCTTTGAACAGTTACTTCTTTTGACCCAAGGGTGTAGACAAGCCAATCAGGATGAAATAGAATATGAAGGATAGTTTTTAAAGTCCAAGAAGGGACATCAGAAGTTGCACATTCTGGAGAAAGACGTCTCAGAGTTAATCTAGCCAAGTTATTAAACAAACAAAATACCCAGAACAAGTAACCATGGAAATAACAAAAACATTAGCACCTTGTTTGAGCATATTAGACATGGTGAAGATACTACAGGATAAGACAAGATTCAGATCTGTTGTCCATATGGTCAATAGTGGTTATAGTTGACCTGAGGACACACGCACACCCCCACACACATATATATATATATAATGGGTGCTGTTATGTCAAGTTGCAATCCTATGCACAATAACTCAAAACTCTGCCCTATTCTGAGCCAATCTCACCATCTATGACACACCTGCCCCCTTTACCCCAGGCACAGTGTCAATCCATCTCATCCAAGGCCATCTTCCCCTTTGTTTTCCCTCTACCCTTCCAAGCATGATGTCCTTCTCCAAGGACTGGTCCCTCTGGGCAACATGCTCAAAGCATGTGAGACAGAGCGTCAAAGTCCTTGCCTCCAAGGAGCAACTTGGTCTCACTGTTGGCAGTCCATGGTATGTCCAAAACTCTCCTCCAGCACCACAGGTCAAAGGCAATGATTCTTTTTCTATCATATTTGGCTGGTCATTGTCCAGCTCTCTAATGCAAGAATTGAGAAGACTATGAGCTGGATTGGGCACACCTTGTTCTCCATACTGACATTTCTTGTTCTTCTGCTCTCTGGAGAGGTCCCTGACAGCAGATCTTCCCAGTGCAATTCATCTTTTGCTTTCCTGATTACTAGTGCCAAGAGCATTGATTCTGGACCCAACCAAGTTGAAATTGTTAATAGTTTCAGTTTCTTCTCCATATATCATGATGCTGTCAATTGGCCCAGTGGTGAGAATGTTTTGTTTTCGTGATGTTGAGCTTCAATCTATATTTGAAACTATATAGATAGGTGATAGATGGATGGATGGATGGATGGATAGATAGATAGATAGATAGATAGATAGATAGATAGACAGATAGACAGATGGATGAGAGAGAGAGCACAAGAGAGCACGTGAGCTATAGCTATAGATACAGATAGCAGCCTAGAGGTAAGAAGCTGTATTGCAATCCCAAAGGCATGCTATTCGAATTGACCAGCTGCTCCATGAAAGAAGAATGGAAAATCTCCTCCCATGTGATCTACTGCCCCTGAAAACCCACTAGAAAGCCAGTTGTGGCTAGGTTCCAAAACAACTGCACACAATCACAACAACAATATATGTACATGACATAAGACAAAAAGTGTAACCCATATATAAGGAATAAAGCAGGCAAAAGAAACAGCTTCTAAAGAGGCCTAGATATTGAACTTAGCAAAGAGTTCAAAGCAGTTCCTACAAATTCTAGGCACCAAAGGAAATTATAATTAAAGAATTAAAGATAGGTGATGAGAATATATCATCAAATAAAGAGATTGAAAAAAATACAAAATAGACATTTCAAAACTCACTAGAAGTTTCAGTACAACCACACAGAAAGACTCTGGTGACTTAGTGGATAGAAAGTTATGCTACCAAGTCAAAAGTGGGTGATTTTAATCTGCAGCCCACAGGCCTGGTTTTAATTGGTTTTGGTCAAACATTCTCCTACGTGGTATAACACTGGTCTGGCTGTGATGCTAAACACCGTGACACTGATGTGTCAAATGCGATAATGGTTGCTCATGGTGGACAGTGTTTGGTGGAACTCCCTGATTAAAACAAGCTTGGAAGCAGGAGTGGTATTCACTTCCAAAATAGCTTGCCTCCACAAACTATGAATCTGGAGAAAAGATGAAAGTTATACAAATGTTCAGGTCTTTCGTTCATAGGATCACTATGAGTCATCTATGACTTGACGGCACTAAACAACAAAAACAACAGACGTTTCAGTATGAAAATCAAGGACCTATTGCTAACGAGGGTAGGTGTGTAAGAGATAATAAAGTTGGCACAGGATAGAGCAGGTTTCAAGACTATTGCACATAGGGTCTCTGTGAGTCACTAGGGACTCAACGGCACATAATAACAACATTGTTATCACCTGAATTTTAACTCATGTCAATTCCCAATTTCTATAGAACAGAATTGCTCTTTAGAGTGTTCTCGGTTGTAATATTTCAATTGAGTGATGATTAATTGTTGGCCTGTTAAGTGAGAGATCAGTAATTTGAACCCATCCGCTTCTCTGAGGGAGAAAGATAAGAAGACAATCTGCTCCCATAAAGACTTAGAGCCTCAGAAGCCCTAGAGGACAGTCCCACTCTGTCCTCCAGGGTCACTATGAGTTAGAAGACTCAAGAATGGTTCATATGGTTTGGGTTCATATATTTCAATTCTCTAATAGATAATTAATACCAGACAGAGATGACTAAGTAATAGAACTGTTAAATGACATAGACCAATAGCTGTGGATTATCCCTTTTAAATTGTTGGTGGTGGTAGATACATTGATTCCACTACAACTCATAGCGACCCTATGAACAATGGATCTGAACCTTACCCGACGGTGCGCCATCTTCATCATCTCTGATATACATGAGCCCATTGTTACAGTCACTGTATCAATACAGCTTGTTATAAATTACACCACCTAATTTTCTTTCTGAGAAAAAAACCAACAACCCAAACATACACAGAAATAAACAGAAAGAAGCAAAGGAGGAAGATAAACTACTTAGACTTCACCAACCCAGACTCACTACTGTCAATTTGATTCTGACTCGTATGGACCTCAATCAGCCTATAAATATTTATGGGAAGAAAAGGCCTCTCTTTCATTCTTAAAGCAGCTGTAAGATTCAAGCTAGTGACCTTTCAGTTAGTAGCACAATTTATAGTGAACAACACCACAAGAGATCTTAAGAGTCCTGATCTAAACAATAAGGTAGGACATGAAATTATTGTTTTCTTTATGATCAATTTTTGGAGGTATCTCATTTTTATGCAGTATGTAGAAAATTGAATAAATAAAAACCCCCAAAATCATACCTTCTGGTGGGGTCCCAATACTACTGCCAAGACCCAAAATGGCCATCTTGTGAGTTCTTGGTTCCAACATCACAGCTGACTCTTCTCCCCTTTCCCAGTGAGGTATTTTGACTGGTTCCAGGTGAACATTCTCCAGCCCGTCTTCTCGTAGGTTTTTGTACATGATTTGGATGGCTTTTTCTAAATTCTTTGAGCCACTCAATCTGGGCCCAACGGTGTCAACAAGGAGTGCCAATCTCTCGTAGGATCTGTTCTGGGCTTTACCATAAACAGCAAGGTTGATGATGGCTTTAGCAACGTCTCCATAGCTGGCTATTTCTTCTTTTATTTCCTGAAAACTCTTCTGGGAGACCTTACCTCCATATGTTGCTTTCTCAGAGCCCAGGGATAAAAAGTGAACAACGCCAACAAATAAGAAGAGAAGAGACTTCATTTTTCCCTTTATCCAGTTGGTTCTTCCTAAATAATCAACAAAAGTAAGACACATTTCAGTTTCAGGGCGTGAGAATGTCACAGCTACCTTCCCACAATACACAGGCTACAACACTTGTAAATAATTCCTTAACCTCCATCATCAAAGTCAGTAACTATAACTCTCAGGAACAGAAAAGGAAAAGACTAACCAGCCCTATTGAAGACATGGTATTTATTAAAACCGTAGACTTACATATTATCTAGCAATTCTGCTTAAAACATGCCAAAGATGAAAAGAAGAAACGGATTAGGAAGAGGGAGAAAAGTAGTGATACCAGTACTGATATCTGTGTTATGATTAGTTGCCATTGAGTCAATTTCAACTCAGAGTAACCGCAGGTCAGACTCATGGGATTTTCTAGACTCATAATTTTCAATTAGTTGACTGTCAGGTCATTTCCTCCTAAAGAGGTGGTTGGGTTCAATCCTCCAACCTTTTGGTTAGTAGTTGAACACTTAACCATCATACCACCAGGGCTCCTTGGATAAAGCAAAAGACAAAATCTGTTACTGTCTAGTTAAAATTCCAACTCACAGAAACCTGACAGGACAGAGTTAAAATTACTCATAGGATTGCCAAAGTTGTTGTCTTTAAAGAAGGAGACTGTCAACATCTTTCTCTCTCAGGTGGCTTGTGGCTTTGAATTACCAACCCTTCAGTTAGCAACTGAGCTCTTAACAGGTGCACCACCAAGTTTCTTCTGATGGGATTAGGGCATGTTGCACTGCCCCCTTAGAGTACGTTGCAATGGATTTCATTCTTTCTGCAATCTGATGCCCTCCTTCTGTTAAACTCATCCTTTGAGGTGCTAAATTGTCCTCCCTAATTAAACTTATACTTGGACCAGGAG